CTCCCCGAGCTGTGGCTGTCCCCGCCGTGTCCCCGCTGTCCCCGCTGTGCCCGCCGTGTCCCCGTTGTCCCCGCGGTGTCCTCGCTGTCCCCGCCGTGTCCCCGCTGTGCCCGCCGTGTCCCCGCCGGGTCGGCTCAGGCCTCCCTCCGTCCCCCAGCCCCATTTCCCCTCACAGGGCAGCACTTGCGGCACTCCCCTCCCAGGCTCTGGGCTTGGAGCCAGGGATGAGCCTCAAGTTTAAACTGTGGAATCTCTTACTCTTAAAAGAGATGATTCAAATTTCGTTTAAATCTCTTAGGAGAGCTTTGAGTGCAGCGGAGCAGCCTCGAGGCTGTTGCCTGGCTCTGTCTGTAGGAAATCCTTGACTCAGAGGAGATCAGTGCCCTCCAACAGCTCTGATTGTTGGAGGAATTGATAGAATTCTCTGGTTGCCGCAGAATTCCCTGCAGGGCTGACTGATCCAACCCTGTTTTCCAGAGGTCGCCTATTCCCAGAGCACCGGCCAGAAGGAGCAGCTGAGCCGCTGCCTGCAGCGAGGTAAGAGCAGTTCCCAGCGAGCTGATCCTCCCTGGCCGCTGCCCCGCTCTGTCTGACCTGCTTCTGGGGCTGGAAAAGCGTCAGAAGCTCCTTGGGGCCCGGGGAGGGCACTCAGTGCTGGATCCAGCCAGATCCTCCCCTGCCCTGAGGGACTGGGAGGTGTTTCAGTGCTGTGTGTGGGGCTGGGAGGTGTTTCAGTGCCATGTGTGGGGCTGGGAGGTGTTTCAGTGCCATGTGTGGGGCTGGGAGGTGTTTCAGTGCTGTGTGTGGGGCTGGGAGGTGTTTCAGTGTTATCTGTGGGGCTGGGAGGTGTTTCAGTGCCAGCTGTGGGGCTGGGAGGTGTTTCAGTGCCAGCTGTGGGGCTGGCTGTGCCCAGATGGATGCTGCCTGCGGGGGTTCTCAGGAGAAGTCCCTTGCCCCCGTGTGTGAGGGTGGCATCGTCCCGCAGGGATCCGGCGGGTCCAGGACCTCTGCAAGGTGCTGCAGCTCCCAGTGGTGTTTGAGGAAACGGCCGTGTCCTACTTCCAGAGGGCTCTGCGGCTCCCTGCCTTCCACCTGCTCAGCCTGGAGAAGAAGGAGCTGCTGGGGGGCTGCTGCGTGTTCGTGACGTGCCGCCAGCACAACTGGCCCCTGACCATGGGCACCATCTGCTCCCTCCTGTACGCCAGGCAGGACCTGTTCGCCGGTGTCTACCTGAGCCTGCAGAAGGAGCTGGGGCTGTCGGTGCCCGCCCTGAGCCTGGCAGACCTGGTGACCACACACCTCAACAGGTGATGGGATCCCTTCCAGCCCCGGGGCAGCCCTGGTTTGCCCTGGCTGGGTGGAGAGGCTGGGATGTGGCCCTGGGCAGGGCTGAGCTGTGATGTAGGTGTGTGTGCTCAGGCTGGCCTGGCTTTTGTCCCTCCCTTGTTACAGCTGTGATTGTCACCCTGCCCCGTTCTCTGCAGTCTGGAGAGGGCAGAGAGGTGCTCAGGGAGGAACCAGAATCCCAGAGTCACCGAGGCTGGAAAAGATCCCTGGGGCCATCGAGTCCAAGCTGTGCCCGATGCCCAGAGCACTGAGTGCCACCTGCAGGGATGGGGACTCCACCACCTCCCTGGCAGTGATTCCAGTGCCTGAGAGGCCTTTCCATGAAGCAATTCCTGCTGCTGGCCATGATCAGCAGCCCTGGGGAGAGCAGGGTGTGTTTGTCCCCAAGGCTCCCCCTGACCGTGGCCTCTTTGCTCCGGCAGCTTCCGGCTGCTCCAGCCCTCGGCCAACGTCCCCGCGCCGTTCCTGGAGGACAAGGAGAAGCTGCTGGGCCGGACCATGGCCATTGTGGAGCTGGCCAGCGAGACGTGGCTGGTGACGGGCCGGCACCCCGTGCCCATCGTCACAGCCGCGGCGTTCCTGGCCTGGCAGTCGCTGCGGCCCGGCCCGCGCCTCTCGTGCCCCTTGGCGCGGTTCTGCCGCCTGGCCGGGGTGGATCTGCCGCCCCCGGCCCACCTCAGGCTGAAGGAGCTGCTGGAGATCCTGCAGGGAATGGCCTCCCAGCTCTCCTGGCTGCGCGGCTTTGACCTGGACAAGAAAACGGTGGTGAAGCACATCGGGGACCTGCTGCAGCACCGCGTGTTCCTGCTGAAAAACGCCTTCAGCCAGCAGGACGGGGAGGAGCAGCAGGACACGGCCCCGGGTCAGGGCTCCCCAGGCCAGGATCCTGGGGGCTCCCTGGTTAAGGACTCCCTGGATAAAGATTCCCCAGGCCAGGATCCTGGGGGCTCCCCAAATAAGGACTCCCCGGATAAAGATTCCCAGGAGGGCTCCCCAGGCCAGGATCCTGGGGGCTCCTCAGATAAGAACTCCTCAGGCCAGGATCCTGTGGGCTCCCTGGATGAGGATTCCCTGGATAAAGATTCCCCAGGCCAGGATCCTGGGGGCTCCCTGGATAAGGACTCCCCGGATAAGGACTCCTCAGGCCAGGATTCCCCAGGCCAGGATCCTGTGGGCTCCCCAAATAAGGACTCCCCGGATAAAGATTCCCCAGGCCAGGGCTCCTCAGGCCAGGATCCTGGGGGCTCCTCAGATAAGGACTCCCTGGATAAGGACTCCTCAGATAAGGACTCCCCAGGCCAGGGCTCTCCCAGCTCTCCTCCAGTGACACAGGAGCAGGGCTGTCCCTCGGCAGGGAAGCCCCGGCGTGGGGGCACCCTGAGGCCGCTGCTCCCACCCTGTCTCATCCACCCGAGGAAGAGGCTGCGCCCGGTGGCTCCGAGCGCCCCGGCCTCGGCCCTGACGGGCGACGAGCCCATCTCGGACAGCGAGATCGAGCAGTACCTGCGCAGCCCCGACGAGATCCGCGCCTTCAGAAAGGCCAAGGCCTGGCTGTGACGGTGGCCCAGAGGACGGTGCTGCCAGGGACAGTTTGGGGACTAAAAGTGTGAAGCCCAGCCGGGACAGAGTGATTGTGCTGCAGAGACTGGCACCCAGGGAATGGGGCCGTGGGGAGGGAGCAGCCTGGGTCCTCCTTAAGGTGCTGGACCAAAATGGGGTTTTTATGGAGTGACTGCTTCAGGTCACGTTACATTTCTATTAAAAATAAATAAAAGTGCAAGTGCCAGGTTTTCCAGGGGTAGCCTCACCTTGGATTTCTCATTCTTCAGCAGAATGACTTTGTGAGAGTCAAAAAACTGCAAGCCAGGCTGTATTTGAACATGAAGTCTGAGAGAAATAACAGTAGGTCTTGGCAGATTGGCATATCTTTAATATATTAAACAAAACATATCTGCTAGAAACATTCTATTCATATAAAAATGCAAAAAGACCCCTTTAAAGACATTTCTTTGGCATATTTCCCTCCCCTCCCCCCGGATATTGCAGGAAGCTCTGTTGATATGTCATTCGCTTGTAAACAGACAAAACAAAGTGTAATTAGGAATACAAAGCTTTTTCTCTAATACTGTCACGATGCAGCAAGCAATGGGACACGGGGCATTAGCCAGGCTGGGGAGGCTGCAGGAGCTGCAGTAACAATTCAGACTGTGGTAAATACCAGGGACAATGAAATATTTAAACATTTAGTTGGGCAGAGAAGCCGAGGCAGGCAGGGAGTGGCAGGTTAAGCTCAGGGGTGCCCCAGCCTCCTAGGGTGAGAGGTTCCCAGGTGAGACCAGTCCCCACTAAGTGCTTTTTCCTCCCCTGGCTCGTGGCCCTGCCAGCCCCACAACCCCTCGGAGGTAGCTATGTCATTAAACTCGTTTGCAGGCGGGGGAAACTGAGGCAGGGGAGGCTGGAAAGGGCAGGGGAGGCACCAGGCTCCCACCTTCCTCCTGTGCTTTGCTGCAGCCTCTCTGTGGCCTGGCTGTTTTACGTGTGCTGGGGAAAGGGGAAACTTGTTCTTTAGTGGGAACAGTAAGTGCTTATCCAGGTTCCAGCCCTTTGTCTGTCTGAGGAAGGTCCCTCATTCCTCAGCATCTTTCTCTTGCATTCCCAGGAATGGTTTCTGCCTTCTTGAGAGCAAACCCAGGTATTTTCTGAGCTTGAACACTTGGATTTAGGACACAGCTGCTCTGGGCCTCTCCCACATCTTGGTTCTTTGGTACAGAGGGTCAGTCCTGGCTCCGGCAGCAGCACAGATCTTCCAGCCCACCCCATTGCATGGCTTGGGCCTCTGAGGGCCTGGGAGTCTTTTCTGGCTGTGGTTTTAATGCCTGGAGCCTTTTCTGGCCGTTATTTTAGTGTCTGGAGTTAAAGCAGTGCAGACAATCACCTCACCTCGGAGCTGAGGCTCCTCTTCCCTTGTGCTTGGCTTTGCAGTATGGCTTTGGCACCGTGCAGCCCCCAGGGCTGGCAGGCAGGTAGGAACGTCCCAGAGGGAGCAGCTGCTCCCTCTCCAGAAGCAGTTTGCTCAGGCTGGGGCTGCGGTGCCTGGACGTAAAGGGCACTCGGAGTGGTCCCTCGGGGAATATTGCAGTCGTGGCACAGGGACGGGAGCGGGGCCCTCGCGTCACCTACGGCTCTGTCTATACATATATACATTCAATAATATAGCTTTGAAAAATAGACATTTTCTCTGTATAATATAAAATAGCATTTAGGATCAATCTCAAGTGACATGCAGGAGCGATTAAAGCACGGCTGCAATCCCGGCTGCCGGCGGGCAGGGATTGCCTGGAGCCTCCCCGGGGAGCTGGGTGGGCTCGGGGTCGTGCTGTGCTCGGAGCCCCCGGCCCATCCCTGCTAGTGCACGCGGTAATTCCCGCAGCGCCGTGCCCCGAGCAGCTCCGGCCGCGGCTCCCGCAGGAAAACCCTGCGCCCGTCGG